TAGCTATCATACTATTATATAACGAACATGAATGAACATCTAGCTATTAGAGGGAATGCTAATGAAGATCCTAAAATGGACATAAATGAATATCATATTAGTTGTTGAATAAACGTGAGAGATGATCCGAATGCTATAGAACTGAAGTAAATGAAAATACTAGTATCGATTAGATCTAACTGAATGAAGGTCCCAAAGCCATAAGGATGAATACTAATGATGATGGCAATGGCTGTTAGAATGAACGTATATGAAGATCCTAATAACCATTTGAAAGAACGTGACTAATTTCCTAACAAACTCACATCTCATCGATGCTGTAAGTATAGATGTGAATGAAGATCCTAACCACCTAACATCCCGAGAACATCAGATTTTTTGCTGTGAATGATGATCTACCTATTTACCTATAACTATTATTGTTTGGAAAATATGTTAGCTGAATCATACAATAGTGTTATTAATTTTTGCTAGAAAACGGATTACTTGCGAAACTTTGTGGCTAGGTCAACAAAACGATGCACTTAACATCTTATTTTCAGATAATGATAATGAGAAGACCAAAAGCGTGTAACCAAATCGGGTCTGAAGTTAGGCAGATCGAAAATTACCAATGAGATGGAAAAAAATGAGTCAAATAAAACGATCAGTTTAAATTAGACAAACTTAATCAATTTCTTATGGTTTTAACTATGTGCTAGCGTTCATGATTTCTGAAATAACCATAGATGGAGTTTGGTAAGAAGTATATTGTTGTGAATTAAAGAGTAGTTTTTCTCTTTCCTGTTAAACCTTCTAGGTCCGACTGAACGAGTTCTAAGTCACCGGAGTACCAGATGTCCGCCGGTTCTCACCTGGGGCGACCACCTGCCTCCGGTACTCCCGCTCACCTATTAAAATGTTTCTACACGGAATATTTTTGTGCCGAGGGACATGCGTACAAGCAGTTTGCAATGAAACCGAACAAATCCAACGGTTGACATTTCATAAAACATATTTTATTTCCAATAATAAATAACGTATGAACAAAAGGGGACTTACGAATTAGTCTTCGGTCTCTGAATAACATTTGATGAGAAAATACAGCAGATTCTTCTGGTATTCTTCCGATGACAGATTTCTCCCTGGGGAAAGATATTCAGTCACATCCTGCTGCAGAAGATATTCATATCTTCTACCTGAGGCCAACCGGCGAAAGAAACGTGACTTAAAGGAGGAAACGTGCCTTAAAAGAGCCCGAGTATTAAGTCAAACAAAGACCGCCCTAGAGGGGATGTAAAATATTGAAAAATCCCAAAATAAAAATAAACAATGATCAAATTTTTCACTGTGTGTATATATTTTTTCTTTTGTCACAATGAAAGGATTTGCGATCCAAACCAAAATTTTGTTTGTGTCCATTTTAAGAATATTATATATACATACTCTCCTTTTCTCTCCCTTTTACCTCTCACACTCACTTTTGCTGTCACTAACACGTTTCATGACCGCCAGGGGAAAAAACTCTCTGTGATATAATCCAAGAAGGACTAAAAATCACAGAAGAATGGTGTAAAAGCGCTGGCTTAGGGATCAATCCCAACAAAACAACTATAGTCGTTTTCACACGGAAAAGGAAACTTGATCACATGAGGGAAATAATAGTCAATAACACTGTGATTGAAATCAAAAATGAAGTCAAATATCTGGGCATCACACCAGTTAAAACACTAACATTTAAGAAACACATCAGCTCAACCATCATGAAGGCGACACGAGCTTTGATGGTGTGCAGAAGAATGGCAGGAAGAAACTGGGGATGTAGGCCGGAAACCCTGTTATGGATGTACACCATGATAGTAAGACCTTTACTTACATACGGAGCTATAGCCTGGGCTGATAAAGCAGAACAAATAACCAAACTCACAAAAATACAGAGACTTGCATGAATCTGCATAACGGGAGCAATGAGAACATGTCCTACAATTAGCATAGAAAAAATACTAGGATTAATCCCCCTATATCACATGGTAGAAAGGACAGCGCAGAAAACCATCATCAACCTTATAAAAGAGAAACCTCCAACAGGAATAAAACTGAAATGGAGAGATAGCAACAAACTATGGAAAGACCATCCGTCACTCATGGCTCCAAGAGACGACATGAACAGGATGCTTGAATTTAACCAAAAATTCCAAATAAACCTGGGTACCAAAAAAGAATGGGAACGAGAGGAAAATACCTCCTTTAAAAATGGCACCATCCTCTGGTACACAGATGGATCTAGAACACAAGAAGGTACGGGGGCAGGAGTATTTGGACCTGGAACCAAATACTCAGAACCCATGGGAAAACACACCAGTATCTTCCAAGCTGAGAATCATCCAATTGAAAGATGTACCCAATTCAATCTAAGCAAAGGGTACAAAAACAAGAATATAGCCATCATGTCAGATAGCCAAGCAGCCATCAAAGCACTAAGCTCAAGTACCATTAGTTCAAGGATGGTGCTGAACTGCAAAACCAAATTAAACATATTAGGTATGCAGAATAAAGTCAGCCTCTGCCGGGTCCCAGGCCACATGGGAATAGAAGGCAACGAGAAAGCGGACACCCTTGCAAGGAAAGGGGCTGCCACACCGCTGATAGGACCCGAACCCTTCTGTGGAATAGGAATCCATACTATTAACGAATATCTCAGACAGAAGGACAAAAAGAAAATGAAGTAACAATGGAATTCACTCATTGGACATAGACAATCCAAGAATCTTCTAACCAATTTTGGCAAGAAAGAAATAACAGAATGTGTCAAAGGAAGCAGGAACAGACTGCGAATCCTAACAGGACACTGTAGATTAAATGGACACCTAAAGAAAATTGGAACAATCCAAGATGGCACATGTAGATTCTGCAAGGAGGCAGAAGAGACACCAACACATTTACTAACAAACTGCGGAGCTACATTAGCCCGCAGGAGGAAATGTTTTGAGATGTGACCATAGAGGAGGTTCAACCACTAAAACCGGGCCTATTAATCAAGTTTCTTGATGAAATAGGACTCACCGATGTGCTTTAGGCAGAGAACGGGGGATACAATAGCTCTTAAAGGGCGCAGTATACTATACCCTGCAATTATATCTACATCTACACTAACACGTTCTCTATCTGTATATCCTTATCTTTTCCCTCTTTCTTCTCTCTCTTTCTATCATCCATTCGCCCTCTCTATCTTTCTCTCTCTTTCTCCCATTCTTTCTCTTCTGTCTCTTTCTCCCTTTTATCTATCTGGATAAGATCTACACCATTCACTTCCATTCTTCTCATTATTTTCTTATCACTCACACGTCTATTCAATTTCCTCTCTTCTCGCTCACACATTCACCCAATCTCTCTTTCTCTTCTTATCATTATCTCTCTTTTTCTCACTTACTATCTCGCTTCTCTATCTGCCTATCTCTATCACTTTCTCGCCCTCCCTATCTTTCTCTCTCCTCATTTACTCTCTTAATCTCACTCAATCCCCTCTCTATCTCTCTCCCATTCACAACTCGCGCTTTCATTTTATACTTCTCAATCATTATCTTCTTATCACTACCGCCTCTTTTTCTTTCATGCTCTCTTTCCACTTCCTCTCTTCCTGGCCCTTTTCTTCTTCTAAGTTCTGTCTCGTCATTTTTATATTAATCTATGATTTAAGGGGGTAATAAAGGGCGGTACATATTTCCAAGAGACCTTACTGCGCACAGCTCACGTACAAAGACAGCGGTTGTGACTTATGAATTACCGAAACTAACAGGCTTGAAAATGATTTTTCCAGGCTTTTTATGGTTAAAACCATAAAATGTGATGGTTTTCGAAACAGCCTAGCGGACATTGAGTATTTAAAGTAAATTTAAACGTTATCTTGGGTTTAGTTTAGAATTGTTTTAATGAGTACTACCGGTTTGGTTTTGTGGGGAGGTTTTTCCCTTTGAAACCGGCCTGTACAATTCATTTTAATTGTGCCTTCGGAATTATGATGCACCCTGTATTCAAATATGGTTTATTTTGAACAAGAGTAACAAGGGGGTAAGACATCGTCCACTATTATATTTAAAATCACAACGTGTTCGACACCGAGGGTCCGGAAACTATTTCGCCTGAGTTAAAAATATATTGGCCTCTCAAAGACCACACGGAATGATAAATAGAGTAAATGACGAAATTACAAGGATACATGTTTAATTGATATGGTTTAATTGTGAGGGACATCATGAGCCAAGGAAAAACGTCACAAATTAAATGGTCAATAGTGACCAATGAAAATAGGACTTAAAACAAAAAAAAACGTAATCACCTATATAAAAAAACAAAAACAAAAAACAATATTACGCCTTAATTATTTTTAACTATATTTAAATTTAATTCATAACCATGCTACATGCGTAGAAAGTGCACAATGGCAATAATTACGACTTTAGAATAATGATACTTCTTTTTTAATAATCTTGTTGAAAACGTGCGATATATTTATGTTGTAATATTATTTTATTATTGATTCTTTAATGTTTTTAAGGGGGTTTGATTGAAAGGTTTAATATGTTGAGCACATGTGGAAAGGGAGGGTTTTTCAAACCTCAGGTCATCCTTATCCATATTTACAAATAATATATAATGACGTTTTTAATATTTTATTTTCAGATGCTGGGATAAACAGCGATTAAAGTACAGGCACGTTATAAGCATTAGTCATCTCGGTTGGCAATTGGTTTGTTTATAAATAAGCTTAAGAGTAGCGTGGGAAATGGTGGATAAGAGGGTCATAGGTTGTCGCCTTTTTTACATCCTAGAAGGGACTGGGAGTGCTTACGAAAAACTGGGTCAACAGACAAGATGTCAAAATACTGCGATGTAAAAATAATCACGTCTTCATTGTCTGCAGATGCTAATGCCCTCGGAGCCCGTCCAACAGACGGCAGACGTCATCAAAAACTGTTAGTAATCGTAGTTAGTCAAGCTTTTGGAAAATTTGTTCGACTTACTCGTTCACCGTCCGCTGGTAATTGTTCTATAGCAGCGGGTTTTTTTTGTGTGCGTAAATTTCAAAAAAAATTAAAAGAAGGCAATTTTCAAAAGGACCGTCACACATGCCACCGGACGTCTGAGCCGTCTTCACCCCCTCCAGATATTCACGGGACGAAGAGGACACGCATGCGCTCCCATTTGACAAGAATAAATTATAATTCACTAAAAGGCACTAAACGACAACTTCCTATCCCGGCGTAGAGCACTGGGAATAAAAGACAGGAACGAAAACCCACCCGCATCAACAGAGTCAAACTACATCTGTTCGGGGAGCAGCAATTCGGCAGAAGTCGATGATGCCACTCCTGCGTCTCTGGACGTCCTCCCTTCTACATGTACAGCTTTTTAGGACTACCCTTCTATAAAAACCAACTACGTTCCAAATTAGCTAATAAATCTTAACGATCTGGAATCCTTGGAAGGTCCGAAACTTCCTGCATACAAATAATTTGTACATCTATTGACTATAATCAAGATAATGGTGTGGAATTCAGTTAAATATTCCTTTTTTTTCTTTTGTCTTTCTTTAATTGGACCAATAAAAGAAAGAATAACTTTTAAACCGAATTAAGAAGGAATGCTTTCTACTAGTTTTATACAATATTGATGGCGTGTCCAATCACATGTTGACTGATTGTTCTGTCATTAACAATTTTCATTAAACAATAATCATTTACTCCTAAAATATTTGTTTCCAACAGTCGCATATTTATGTAGTCACAATGTGTCATAAAAAATCTCATGTCATATTTCATTACCCTCGGGGTTAATCTGGATAAGTCGAAGTTTAGCCAAATGTCCAGTCCTTCAGGCTGGGTAGACTGTGTATAAATGATTACATTGAGAAGGAAATTGTTTTCTTTTAAATGCAATGTGCCTTATCTAGAAAAGTTAGGGCAACATTTTGATAATGCTGCTTGTCTATTTTTTTTTAAATAAATAATTTATTGCCAAATTATTAAAAAAAATTGAAATGTTGCCCTAACTTTTCTAGATGACTAAAAAGGCACATTGCATTTAACATGCTTGTCTATTTGTAAACTCAAATGATCCATACACTGAATATAATAAGTATATTTCCTACGCTCTTAGGTGCGACAAAGAAATTTTTTATGAAACTCACCCACATCTACATATTTTATCTGTTGAAGCTGCAACAATTCTGCAGAAGAGACACAAAACAAGCAGTATTATATTTAAAATAAAAAAAAGGAACAAGGGACCCAAATACTCGATATTGTCTCATATTGGGTTCATTCCTACATGCTCACCAAGGAATTGCACCCATCAACTACGGGGAACACATCAAGCATCCACTTGCACATATGCGGGATATGGACCAAAATTAAGTTTCTCTGTGTCAACCTTGCACCTATTCTTAATCGGGTGAGGATGACCCCTGTCAGATCCTTCAAGGGCCATCTATAAATGAGGAGTAGAAGCAAGGGTAATTACAAAGATTATAACAAGTTAAAAATGATTTTATTTACATTTATAAACTATTTTACAAAAGACTAATAACAATACGTTAATTTTGATTTTTCATTAGGAGAATGTTTTCTTCTTCGTATCTTCCACATAATCAACCGAGTATTCACCTTGAGTTTGCAGTCCTTCTGCTTCCCATTGGGCATTCATGCTTTTTTCGTTTTTTTCTTTTTCAAACATTTCAAGCAGAAGCTGAGTGGCCGTCGGCTTCGGATTTTTCGGGCCGTTCAAACCTTCCTGTTAATATTATTTATTATAAGTATAAAGCGTGAACAATATTATATGTATTTAAATATTGTACGTACGATTGGGAAAACGGTCAAGTTTAATTTAGGATCCCTGAATTTTGTCGGAGTCCAGATCCCTTGGATGCTCGGGTTATTGGTCTGCCAGTTCTTCCTATACCTCATTACTTCCTTTCCAGATCTCTGTGTGAATAGGTTTATCCATTTGTAGACTTCTTCTTTCGAGAAATTATGACAGTTGATGTAGTCTTTTTGACCATTTACTGGTAAAAGAAAAAAAAAATCACTAGGTGTAATGATATTGAGAAAACGTATCATAGCAATAATAAACCAACAGTATTCTGCAGTCAATGTGGGTGCACGATGCCTCCTTGGTTTGACATAAACTACAACGCCAGGGTTTTTATTTGCAAAATTTACCAATTCTGTTTCTAAAAACTCCCTAAAAATAAAGTTAATTTATTATTATTATTAATTTTTAAGGGCATTTTAACGGCTAAGGTCATTTCACGCCCTAACATCCAAACCTTCTATCTTAGGTTAGCTATATCCCTTCTGAGTGCTATAAAGCTCTGACTCCAAACATTCACTCATAAACTAATTTATCCTATTGCCATCCAAGCTTTAATTTTTCTTTTTAAAATTCTTAATTTGGAAGGCCAAATGTATGCAAAAATCCCATTTTAAATTACATATAAAATTTATTTCTGTTTCTTTTTTAAATTAGAATTGTGAATTTTTGTTCCATAATTTAAACATTTCCCATAGGCTTGTATGGCTAATAATAATAATAATAATAATAATGGAGTCAGACTAGCAACAGTCTCAGCATGAGTATAGGCTCATCCTTATCCTTTTATTCTTCCATTCAAATATGATACATAAACTAATTCTACATAACAATAATAAGAAACAAAACACAATAACACTTTTTTTTTTGAGGGAGCTATTTTTCTTATTTAAATTGCGATTTTGGGCATTGCAGTTTATTACACCGCAATTTGTATTTTCTTCCATTTTATTTTTCCGCTCCGGCAGCCTCAAAAACTTCTGAAAAAAGAAATTTTGCACGCACTACTCTCATTCAAACATTAGCAGGCATTCAATGGTATAACAATTTGAGAAAAGGCCTAAATCTCATTATAAATTCCAATAAATTTGAGAAAGCTGAAAATGCTCTTCGAAAGAAACACTGGGGACCCAGTAACTCCTGTAAATCACTCGAAAGGTTGAGCCTTTGCTTAAAGGAAGTTAATTTATTATTATTTTTTTAAGCATAACACATTTTGTTTATCAATGTATGCCATATATTGGGTTGTCCGGAAAATAATGCAGGATTTTGGTATTAAACAAAAAAAAAGAAACTAGTTACTTTAAAGCAATGTTCTTTAATCAAAATAATTTCCCNATTCATACAAATGAGTAATCCTGTAAACGTAAACAGAATATTTTATATAGATTTTTTTTAATGAAAACTTAAAATCCTGCATTATTTTCCGGACAACCCAATATTTATCAATATTAGAATAAAGAACTCATTGCACTAACATACATAAGGAAGCTTTGAGTAAGTACAAATACTTTGATTGGGGCTAAAATTTCTAGCATTGAATAAATTCATTTTTTCACATCGTACATGTATTTGTGTAATTTGAACTATGATTGTAAATCCCAGGCCCTGAAGATGAACTCAACAAAGATCGAAACGTTGGCATGATAAAGAAAATGTTTTTCTAAAACCTACATCACACCAGACCGCATCTCACGATCTGCAAATAATCAAAACTAATGGTCACTAAACACCACATAAATCATAACATTTAGAAACTTAAGTCAATAATTTTTCAATTGAAACTATTGTACTATGTGGTACATAACTTGTTTTAAAATACAATAAAACTAATTGTAATTAATCCATGTTTGCTTAGTGGTCACAATTGACCATATTAATTGTAATCTTTGATTATCCTGTAACCATGGTGGCGTTCTGGTCTAATTGTTCTGACATTTGTTTATTTAAAAAACCGAAAGTGAAACAGGCCAGATTAGTTTAAGCATTTATCAGCAGTTTGTGATACTTGATCATACTTATCAGCATGTTAGAGTAGTTATGTTCTAGTCCACAACATTTCAGGAGGTATTAATTATACTTTGGTTGATTCTGATCTAGCTATCCTGTTTTGTATGTCAGACTAGATTGACTGGAAACTACCAAACTACAGGTTCATCACCTTGCATAAATCAACAAGAAATATTTATATCACAATGTTAAAGCATCATCAGCACTAGGTTATGTTCTTGAGTAATAAAAAACCCCATGAATGTAGACAGACCCAATAAGTATCACACTTGAAGACACCATCAACATAATCCACTATGAGCCTGTGATGGATATGTGCCAACTGTTTTAATATCCCTGATCATCATCATCTACATATTCTAACTCTACATTTCATCCTCGCTGGATTAGCCTGTCAGTCTAGGATGATCAGAAACAACTAAATTACAGATTCATCACACTGCACAAGATGTACGATAAACTTGGTGTATGTGAGGTCATAATGAGGGCTCCTAATAGTCTTAATTGTGAAATTTTGTCAGCAGTTTGTTCTTCATTGATAATTTGTATTGTATTCTCCATTATTAAACATTTTAGCATTGTGCACAGTCAGCGTCCAAAATAGTGGCATGTTTCAGCAGTCTGCATGTCTGATCTCTCTGATAAAACTAAAGGTTCATCACTCAACAGGTTTTGAGAAATTTTTCATTTCATCTGTATGTAGTTGAACATTTCCATCCATTGTGAACATCAATGAACATTTTTTTGGGTAGCTTTGATTCGTTGAACACTATGATGATCGAAAACGACCAAACTACAAATTCATCCCCATGTAGAATAAAACATTTATTTCATTACAGAAATCAATGGAAAAGCTCACTTCAAGTTTTGTTAGTAGTTTGTTCATCATTATTAAACAGTTTAGCATTTTGCACAGTCAATTTCTGAAATGGTGAACTTATTTGGTTGACTTGTGATCTGTTTAACATGCACCAGTAATTTGAATGTAATGATCTCTTCTGTTGGAACATAAATTGATAAAACTACAGGTTTATTACTCCACAAGTGTAGAAGTGTGAAATTGTTGAATGCTGCATGTCATTTAACATTTGTTAGCAGGGACGTACAGGCTTTTAATTAATTTGTTTTTTAGTATGAAATAGGTGGTAGTCAGAAATTGTATTGGGATGGTTCTAAATGAGTAGCCAATTTGTAGTATTGAGATTTATGATTCCAGCCAGGAGTCTAACAGCCTCATCTGGCATAACTATTTGCCAGCTGAAAGTAACTTCTCTGAACTTTCTCAGAATAGGTCAAATACCTAAAAAGTGTTATAGAACGTATTTCTGAGCCAGAAGTTTGGTAAGACTCCAAGGTTAGCAGTATTCAACCTATCAAGTTTACCACAAAGCATAAATAAATAGCTTGCTGTTTATTGTCCTCTTTGATCCCATCAATAACTTTTTCGCATCCACTCGTAGTACTTTTGGTTTGAAGGAATTCAAAATATTGGATACAGCAGGCTTTTCAGACAGAAATGTCTTTTGCCCAGAAATCCTCCTTCTTGAAGGTTTCGGTCGCCACTATCTTAAGGTGCGAATCTGCCTTATTAGCCACTTTTATAATATAATTCAAGTGCAAGCTCAGCATGTAGCTAAGTAAATAAAGTAATTAGGGGAGTGTGTAACTGGGAACGCTAATTAACTTTCTTACAAACATGTGCTAAACACTCTGTACTATCGTGACTTCATCACACCCCCAGATTTTGTGCCTCTTTGCACAGCTCTAATTACATCATTGAATTTTCAATAAAGGTATGCTTGGGTTTGCGAACACTTCCTTAAAAATACAATTCATGGTAAATTTTGCTGATGGTACTTTCTGTGGTAGATGTTTGTTAAACTGAAGCTTAGGTGTCAATAATACACCCAAATATTGATAGTTGCTAATTTTTCCTTCTTCATTCTATTCTCCATGTTTCAAAATCATCCATTCAACTTTTTTGGCTGGCTTTAATATGTTAAATATTTGTCGTAAGTTTTTTCTACTTTTCTTCATATTCTCATGTTAGGTTATAAGCATTGTATATATATTTTTTTTGTTTAGGACTTAGTTACATTCCTGAGCATGTGGGGTTTTTGTTGAAATAATTTTCCCCCACAATCCCTAACATATTTGCTTTTAAAATTCATATAGTTCAAATTTACTACCCTGGCAAAGTGCTTTCCTTGTTAAAATTATTCTGTTTTTCTCAGCTGTCAAATGTAAATTGTTTTGAATAATAAATTTATCGATCTGCCTATCATATTAGGTAGATACATCCATGCCATTAGGAATAAAGCGTTTAAAAATTTAGGATTCATATTCAAGCAAACTGTTGATTTTAAGAACCCTTTTGCAATAAAATTACTTTATCAATCACTGGTACGCTGTCACCTAGAGTATGCCAGTGTTATTTGGTCACCGGGTTCTTTAGATGGAAAGAGGTACAGAGAAAGGCCACGAAATACCCGTATTACAAGATATACAATCACAGGAAGTACCATCATTGCTCCTATGAAGCTGGACTTGCTCCAGTAGGCCTGGATTCTCTGGAGGATAGAAGAGTTTTGGCTTCTGTTATGTTACTGTAGAAGATCCCAAATAATTTTATTGACTCCCCGGAGATATTGTCTTATATTGGCTTTAGTGTTCCCCAGCATCAACTACGGACCCATGTATTATTTAGTAATTCATGGCACAGAACCAAATACGGGTTAGAGTCTTCAATCTACACAGCTGTGCTTTATATAAATTCGGTATCATCGCAGACCCCTTCTCCTTATCCCTTCGGATCTTCAAAAAAAAAATTAAATGAGCTTTGGAATATAACTGAGGGTTTATTTATTACTTTTTTTGTGTTATTTGTTAATCAATTTATAATGTTGATTTGCTTGTTAAAAGTGTTGGCCCTTCTTTCCTTTAATTTTTATAACCTGTTTTAATAATTTATATTGTAACGATTGATTTATTGTCTTGCTTGACTGTCCTATGGTTGGGTACCTGACTTGTTTGTACTGTAAATAAATTAAAAAAAAAAAATATTAGGTTATCAAATGAAATGTACCATTCTTCATTGAGAAGTATTGTTTGAGGTGTTTAGTGTTGCTTTATGATGTCTGTCAAGCAGATCGTCCCAGATCATACTGATATGCACGTTTTAACTGGCACATCAATCCAGGTGGACATAGACAACAGAGACATTTGGAAGAAAGGTGGCCCAAGTTTCAAGAAGGGGCCTTAATATGGTAGATGGAACAGAGAGTAGGCATAGGGGTAAAAGGGCCGAACTTCACCCTTGAACTAACCCCAACGATTTTCCAAGCTAAAGCCCGTGTAATACACATGCACATGATTTAATACAGAACAATATGAAAGGTGCACAAATATACATTCTCCCAGACAGCCAGGCAGCCATGGAGTGCCTAAACTGCCTAATGGCTCTGGGAAAGCAAAACAAGATTACATTAAAGTGGGTTCCGGGTCACGAAAGCATAAAGAAATGAACAGGCTATGATGCACTATGTCGTGTTATTGAAAAAACAAAAATTAACATTTAATTGTTGGAGGATCTTTCTCTGCAAAGAATAGTGGTAAAGGAACAAAAAAATAAAACTTTTGAGTACAATTATTATTATATTACAAAAGGACTTTAATTTAAAAAAAGAATGGTGGCTCTACTGTGCTTCAGCACATTTTTTTAAACAAAAAATAAACAACCAAACACATTCATTAATAAAACCACAAAAGAAGGCTCACTGGCGTTTAAAAAAAGAATGATGCAAATTCGACAAAACTTAAGATTGAGAAAGCAGTGAATCCAAGTTGATAGCTCAGTCTGCAAATTTCTCTCGACCAAAAAATCTTCTGATCTGAGGAAAAATCCAAGAGAGACTGCCCATGGTTCTATCAATCCCTGGTGTGTTCGGCGCTTCGACCAATCAGCGAAATATACCCATTGTTGCTCAGGCATTATAATGCTGACTAACTAGCCAACAAGGGGGCAACTCTCTCACCCAGGGACCAGAACCACAGCTAAGCACTCCATAGTGTGTGCTTAAGCTAGAACTAAAAAAATGAATTGTGAAAGAAAACCTCAAATCCTCCAGGTATGAGGCAAGCTAAGAGGTTTATAAACATCTCAAAATGAAAGGCGAAAGAACTCCTCATTCAGCAGGTAGGATTTGTGAAAAATTTTAGGCCTCTACACCGGCCACTGCCCTCTTAACTATCACCTTAAGAAGATGGGCAAAACCGAGACGGAAACATGCCAGCTCTGCCAGAGACATCAGGACATATCTTTTGCGAATGTAAAGCGTTTTGCTGGTTTATGATACAGCCAATTCGGTAGGACATTTCTCATACCACAGGAAATCCACGAACAGGCTTCAAGGAAAGTGCTCAGTTTTATAACGAATAGTATACTTTCCAAGGTATGGCTATAGGTATAAGCTATAAGGCTATATATGAGGTGTGTAGAATTAAACTGCGATGACCTGATGCCGTATACTATGGATGATGCCCCTAATACTTGATGATCAACAAATCAAAACTGTTAAGGCTTAAATAAATGAACTGAAACAAATCATGCTGGATATAATGGACTGAAGAGTGGTATTACCTAAACCCCTTGCTGTCACCGTTGGATTTGCAAAACTTGAGCGTTATCCTTTTCAACTGGCAGACGTATCTACCGATCCCGTTTTGAAGAGGAGCCCTCGGGAATCCGCTCACCATAAAAAGATGAGAATTGGACATTTTTGAATGGAATTTGTTGAAACGCCGATTAAAAAACGGACACTCAAACTGAACTGTTTCCAAGCTGTAACCGTGTAATATTGAAACCTCCTGCAACCTCGTGTAATAATAAAACAACGCGCGAGTAATAGTTTCTGTTTCCAATTGTGTTTTCGTGTGATATATTAAACGATTTTCTACTAAGTTATGGCCGGAGAAGTTTTCGTGGACGCTCTCCCATACATCGATCTTGGATATGATGAACCAGGGATCAGAGAAGGCGTAAGTATTGAATATAAACTTTAACAATATCTGAGACAAATTTAATAAACAAAACATTTCTTTTAAGGCTTTAGCTCTAGTCGAAGAAGAAACCAGGAGGTACAGGCCTACAAAAAACTACTTGGAGCACTTGCCCAGCATACATTTAAACGCCTTCGAGGTAAATTATTGCCACCATTAATACATATTAATAAGGGATTGTCAAACATAATTTTTTAGACTGAACTGATGAAAAATGAATTTGAGAGGCTGCAACAAAGGCTGCCCATGGATACGCTGAGTATGAAGCGTTATGAACTGCCTCCACCCCCTGCTGCCAAGATGAGCGACTTGAGCGCGTGGAACGAATGCGTTGAAAATTCCATGGCCCAGCTTGAACATCAGGCAACTAGGTGAGTTTTTTAAAAAGATTTTCGAGTTTGTTTACATTAGATCTAAAACAATTTCGTTTAGGATATGCAATTTAGAACTGATGCTCGAGTACAGTTGTGAAGCGTGGAAATCGTACATCGAACTTTTGATGAAATGCCTGTCCGTGGCGCAGAAACAGCTTCAGTCCATAAGGTGAACCAAGGAATAAGAAAAAAACAAGCATCATTAACTTAAATTAACGTTTTTGTCTTGTGTTTAAGGAAAGAGATACAGGAGATAAACTGGCAGAGGAAACATGCTCAGACTAAAGCGGGTGAGAAACTCCTCAAGTTAGAAACGATGTGGGAAGAGCTGGTGAAGAAAAATTACGAAATTGAGCAAGCCTGTGTCGAACTCGAAGAACATCTTACAGACGAACAAAGGCAAAAATGGGAAGAAGAAAACAACATAGTTAATAACATGGAACCTTAAAAACTAATTTAAGAAATAAATGTGTTGTTTATATTATTATATAAATATTTGTATAGTCTAGATGATTTGCAATACAATCAATGATTCAGTTCTCCTGTTTTCAACTATGTAAAACTAAATTTTTAATTAATTAATTTAATACCAAATAAATAAATTAATACCATTAGTATGAAGTCTGGATTTTAACTTAATTTTTTCTCAAGCTAAATTTATTGTAAATTAAAAGCTGGAATTGCCGGTGGACTGCGAGAAGAGATGACTGTATATGCGTGTGCAGATTTGATCTTGTATAAATCAGTAATCAGTATACGCTAAGTCTCAGGAATGTTTCATTTATTGCAGAAACATTTTTATGCATGTTGGGGTTATGGGAAATGCGCTGTATATCTCATGAAGCTGACTATGAGTTGAAAAAAAAGGAAAATAAATTCAAATAAATGATTATTTCTTCACAAAATTTAAAATTTTTCTGACATAATGAAACAAAACAATTTCAATGAAATGATAAACTTATTAATTAATTTTTTAAATACATTTTCTTTTTGCAATTATGAAAGTTCAATTTTAATTTTTTAAAGTACTAATGCAAATTAGTTCAAATATTTCATAGGGTGGGGGGGAGGGTCAACCTTGTTTCTTTTTAGGAACTATATCGCATTTCAAACTGATGCAACCAACTTTAATATTTTTGCGCATGAAGGTGAAGTTGAGGCAGACTGAGTGATATGGTAATATGGACAGTGTCGGCTGAATGCTAATCGGCCAATTTTTAATCGTGTAATTCCCCTAAAAAAATATATATATAATAAAATTTTAAAATACTAATGTTTCAAAAAATGTTTGCGTACAGGTGGTATAGGACAAGATTGAAAACCCATAGACCTGGCTATAGATGTAGGCAAGGACTTTGTGTACTTTTTAAGTGTGGAGCACAAAGGTCCTAATTCCTTGTCGGTAAACACGCCTTTCCTGTATCGTCCATTAGTATAATCCAAAACATCAAAGGAATAAAACAAGTTAGTTTTCTTGTTAAAACAACGTTTAAGGTCATACGTACTATAATATCATCGGTGAAACCCCAGGGCAGTATTACATCAGAGGTAATACATGATCTTCAGTGTCCTGTTGTAAGTATTAATCTTGTTGTTTGGAAACTTCATTTTGTCAGTTCCAGGGTTAATGCAAGGGACCTTTTCTTTAACTAGGATATCATACGGCCCCTGAAATATACCACTCTAAAAAAACATGCTACAATTTCTATTCTTTTTTCTATATGATTTGATACATCTTTTAAAACATTATAATATCAAAATCTGATTTAAAATGTTAACTGATTAAAATGTGTGATTAATAATTAATTAATGTGTGATGAGGTCCATGGGGTAAAGAACACGTTACTAAACAACCTTTATACAAACAACACTGAAGATGGTGAAATTCTGAAACATATCTTAAGAATAGACTGGCCTGAATCATTGGAAACGATTTAGTTGTGATTAACATATAATTTTGTTTTTTAAAAAAGTTGGCAAAAATACACTTTAGAATTTTATGTGTATGGATAAATAATATGAAACAAATTAAAATTGGGTATATATGTAGACCTAGTAGAAAAGTCCCATTATTTAATTTTTTTAAAAATTCAGCTTAAATGTATAAAAAGTTAAAAAGTATGTTACGTATTAATTATGTACAAACATAAAATTCTCATGATTATCCAGTTTGAAAAAAAGTTGAATTTGGCTTAGAAAAAGTTCAATGTTAATTAAAAGAGAACAAAAAATCGGCTTAGAAAAACTTCAAAAAGCAAAAAATTCAATGTTAATGTAGAATGAAAAAGTTCAATGTGTTTGGGAACAAATATAATCGGATTTGACAAAAGTTCAATGTGACTTTAAAAATGACATACAGTATAGAAAATGTTTAATCTGGTTTAAAAAGAGCCCAATGTGGTTGGGAAAAAATTCAATGTAATTTGACAAAACCTCAATGTAAGTTGAAGAATGACAATTCGGTACAGAAAATGTTTACTGGTTTAAAAAGAGTACAATATAGTTGGGAAAATATTCAATTTCATCTCACAAAACCTCATGTGAGTTGAAAAATGATAATTCAGCTTGGCAAATGTTTAATGTCTTTGGAAAAAGTTCAATTTGACTTGCCTTAGGTTTTTCCCCTGACGACTATCAAACCAAAAGCCGAAGGTTTGATTGCAGATTCGATGATTTGAAAAATTTTTAATTTCACTTGTTAAAACTTCAATGTGACTTGAAAACATTTCATTTCAACTTGGCAAAATTTTGATGTGATTGGATACCAATTTAATGAAATTTAAAAAAAAATTCTATGTGACTTGAAAAAAGACAATTCAGCCTGGAAAATTGTTAATGTAGAATGAAAAACGTTCATTTTGTCTAGGCAAACGTTTGATCTCAAAGATTCGATTTGATTTGAATAAAGTTTAATTTGGCTTGGCAAAATTCAATGTGATTTGTCAAACTTCAATGTGGCTTAATAAAGGTTCGATGTGATTTGAAGAAAGTTCAATGTGACTTGAAAAATGATAATTCAGCTTGGAAAAAGTTTAATGTGGTTTGGAAAAAAAGTTCAATTTGGCTTGCCTAAGGTTTGATGGCAAAGATTCCATGAGATTTGAAAATCTTTTAATTTCACTTGTTAAAACTTCATTGTGACTTGAAAAAATTTCATTTCAATTTGGCAAAATATTAATGTGATTGCATAACAATTTAATGAAATTTGAAAATTTTTTATGTGATTTGAAAAAAGATAATTCAGTCTGGAAAATTGTTAATGTAGAATGAAAAACGTTCATTTTGGCTAGGCAAACGTTTGATCTCAAAGATTCGAAAAAAGTTTGATTCGGCTTGGCAAAATTCAATGTGATTTGTCAAACTTCAATTTGGCTTAGTAAAGGTACGATGTGATTTGAAGAAAGTTCAATGTGACTTGAAAAATTATAATTCAGCTTGGAAAAAGTTTAATGTGGTTTGGAAAAAAGTTCAATTTGGCTTGCCTAAGGTTTGATGGCAAAGATTCCATGAGATTTGACAAACTTGTATTTAGCTTGGCAAAACATCAATGTGATTTGAAAAAAAGTTCCTATTTGACTTGAAAAAAAGTTCCTATTTGATTTGAAAAAATGACATTTTGGCTTTATAAAACTTTGATTTCATTTGGAAAAAATGCAACGTGTAAATAAAATTACTCACTGCGTACTGCTTCGAAAATTGAGCCGTCACCAGCGGCTCGCAGCCGAGGAAAACTCCAAGGAAAATTGATGGGAGCATCCTAGAGTCAGTTCGTCCTTCTTTGCTATGATCATGGTCCATTTGTGTGCTGTCCATCGTTTTGCACAAAGAGCGTTAACGATCTAAACAAAAACTTTTTATCTCCGCCAACGACAAATTGATCGCAAATTAAGGAAACATCGTCGAGAAAAACGGATATTACAGCATGATGTTATCAACATCGTTAGCGATGTTTTATTTCTTCCTTCATGCTGATTGTTGGGTCATCCGCAACTCCACAGCTTTTCCATCTTTATTCACGCAAGACATCTTTGGTAACAACAAAATTAAAATTACATCAAAGAGGCAAATAGAAGAAAAACAATAATTGCCCAAGGAAAAAGATATCAACAACTCAAGGTGGCGAAATGTAAACGTCTGACAAAAAGTATTAATAGACCTCAGAGGGAAATAAAAAAACGAGAGTAATTCATACACATTATATTGTAAAAAGTTGGCTCCAAAACCAGTGAAAGAAATGGAATAATATGGAAATACCCCTCGGTCTTTCAAACTGAAAACACGAACTGAAATTCCTATAAAAATTACAACAACAATAGTCTGACAATAGCCATACCCCAAAATAGTCAGTGAATGCATTCAAAAGCTGAGAAAACAACATCCTAACAATCCACAGAGCACAAAGGAATTTTGGGTTATGAACAAGTAGGCAAACTTGTCCGAGGAGGATTGCGAGGCCAATATAGGTCCAGAACCTATACTAGTATAACAACCTATAGGTATAAGAAGATCAAACATAAACTCCTCATTCTCAGAATGGGACCACACAAATCAAAAGATGAAATAGAGGGTAACTAGAGGTGCCAGGCATAGTAAATTCATGATTAAAGAACCCTCGCCAAAAATGCAATTTGCTACAGCTAAACAGGGTAAAACTCAGGAGATGATTTTATCTTAGAAAACACCTACACAACATGGGTATGTTAAATGATGACCTCATATGAAGGTTATGCAAAAAGGAGGAAGAAACTGCCACTCGTATTATCTTCGAATGCGAAGCAACTTCACAATGGTGATATAACCTGGGGTACTCTCCAAGAAAACCCGGGAAGAAGAGAAAAAGAATTGCAGCAATGACAGTCAATGACCTTTTCATTTTAAAAGAAAGATGTACTTTATGGGACTGGATCAAGGAACTAGGACTAGTACAATAATCCGGAAGGCTTGCCCGTGCTTGAATAATACAAAAACCCCAATTCCTCGTGTCTTCATCGTCACCATCTTTCTAAGTAGTATGGTCCTTACGGAGGTTAGGTTAAATGTTTAATAATCCTGCCTCTACCAGTGAGGGCTATAATGGTTCTGACAGGAGAAAAGTGGAACAGATGGCGTATCTTGCAATAGCGTTTCAGCACCATAAAATTGTCCAAAAGAGTAATATTTTTGGCTAATTTATTAGTTACTAGAACTTTCATCGGCAGTTTGTCATCCTTGATCATTTCTGCACAATTATTGAAATATGTTTAGCCCAAAACCATTCAATTTGTCTGAAATGTCTTTTGGTCGTATCCAAACTTTATAGTCTAGACAGACGTCAGACGGGAAGGCTGACCAAGAAGATCGGAATCAACCAAACTACAGGTTGACTGTACACCTCCAGGATGAAATAAAAATTGTTCTAATTAAAGAACTAGAAAAAGTACAATAATCCAGAAGGCTGGAGTGCTTGAGGAATACCAAACGTTTTTTAGTCTTTTGTCCTCCTTCATCGATGACCTACTTTACTTTGTAAATCCATTATATTTCGTGGTCCGATTGACCAAATAACTTCTTTCAATTAATCAATTTTTATGTAAGGTATTGGTTGAGATAAAAAATCTTTACTTTGTCTTATCTTTTAAATAATTGCTTTGATTAGAACTATCGGGAGTGTGAAGTCCGAAAAATAACCTCACCAGTATTTGTAATGCTATAAATTATTCATTTTATTCCCCTGTCATGCCCATTTCTTTTGACTACAGACAATCCTTGATAATTTTTATTCCAATTATTTTGTATTTGGAGGAATTAACAGTACCAATGAAGCATTTTACAGTACGCCCTTAGAAGTGGTTATGGTGTTTCCTTTCACTTCCCTCCCGTGTGATATATCTAAAAGATTGATTGTTATTGCAGCAATCTCGAAACAATCGCTAACAGAAATGCCCCCTCTTACAATTTCTGCTGCTTAAATGACTTGTAACTAAACTTCCATGTATTATGGTTAGCTATCTCTCGACTGCAAGGGAATTACTCGTTTGATTTTCTCAAGAGTTGAAAGATATATATTTTTTTTAGATTTATAAGAGTATATTCATTAATCGAAAAGTAAAAAATGATCGGAAAAATAAAGTATACTTAATTTTGTAGTTTTTAACAGGCTTAAAACAGCTTGAAGATGGACAGAATTCAAACCATTTAAAAATCGATATAAACTAATATTTTTGTAGGACATCGTAAGTTCTTATCCGTTAATCCAATCCACACAGACAGGGCTAGGAAAAAGAAAATATTAGTTTCTGAACAATCCAATATCATTGAGATATGGCAGCCGGAAACGTCGCCGATTTCCATTTGCATAGATCTACCGATTGCATCTATCAGAATGAGGTCGGCCAGAAAACAGTGGTCGTCCCAGGTCCAAGCCAATTTAGGTTTCACTGGTACAATTTTGTTTCGACCTCAAATATATCAAAAATTTGAGTTTTTCTTCTTTTTTAAAAATTATTTTATTTCTCATCTTTTCTGAAATCCGTCGTAGTATATTATATTTAACGTGCCATTTTTAAAAAATCAAGCTTTGCTTTAAAGCAGTTTTCGATACATGTCAAATTATTTCTTTTCTTTCCCAACCTTCCAATTTTATTGTTATTGCTATCTATATCAAAATAATTTTAATATCGTAAAGCACTGGGCTCAGAGTTTAACATTCCTTTCATAAAAATGTGTGGTGATAAGTTAATCGATAATTATTCAGAAATCGTGAGATGCGGTCTGGTGTGATGTAGGTTTCAGAAAAACATTTTCTTTACCGTGGCAACGTTTCGATCTTTATTGAGATCATCTCCAGGGCCTGGGATTTACAAACATTGTTTACATTTAAAAAATACATTTAGGATGTGGAAAAAAGTGAATTTATACCGAAGAATTCTTGCACAATTACACAGAAGACAAACACTTTGAGTGAGTAGACATACTGTGATTGAATATAAAAAATATATTTTGCATGGTATAAATTCACTTTTTTCCACATCCTAAATGTATTTTTTAAATGTAAACAATGTTTGTAAATCCCAGGCTCTGAAGATGATCTCAATAAAGATCGAAACGTTGGCACGATAAAGAAAATGTTTTTCTGAAACCTACATCACACCAGACCGCATCTCACGATTTCTAAATAAATGTAAACAATGTTTATAAATCCCAATTATTGTGACAATAATCACACATCTACACAGAAAATAAACACTTTGAACCCTGAAGATTATCTCAATAAAGATCGAAATGTTGGCAAGATAAAGAACATATTTTTCTGAAACCTACATCACACCAGACCGCATCTCATGATTTCTGAATAATTTTCATAAAAATGTTGAGGTATGAAATTCTGGTAATATCATGGAGTTATTGGATTAGTATTACAACCGTCGAAACCACGCCGGCCCACGAATTTAAAGGAGAGGTCTTATTTAATGAAAGCTGGTTTGAAAAAAAATTGATCGCGTAATCAGCTAATTAGACGGTACGAAGAAGCATTGTGGGCGGGTTTGTCAGGTTTAGGAAGAAGGATGTTGTTTGAGTATTTCCAGAGCAGAGTGAAGTCTGTAGTGCGGAGTATACTGTTGTATAGGTACGTGATGAAGATTGCCTTTTTAGGGTATTCATGGAGGTTTCAGGATGTGATAAGGTCAAAGCCACTAGACATGCGATTCGGAAACCAGGTAAGGATATATACAGGGTGACTGGCGATAAGTGTCGAAAATTTCAGATGTTTCTACTCACCATATGTAACAGAAAACTTCCTATAAACCCCTGTCCAAATCTCCAAGTAAAGAAGTAATTTCAGGTTTTGGGTGGTTTTTAATTTTTCGACTTAGGTCCACTAAATTACTTATTCACTCCAGAATTACTGACTGTAGAAAAATCTGGTTTGTGTCACCTGAAAGAAGGTTAAATTTGCTGTAAGGAAACCTATTTACATTGCAGAATTGATGAAAAATTCTGCACGAAAAATTCAGAAAAAAACAAAAATGTTGAAATTTGGAATTTTTTGAATATTGATTGGTAACTGTTACTAACTACAAACTCCTGGAGCTTTGCAAATATCCTCAAAAGTTCTCCATTCAATTAGCTTCCAGCTACCCACCTTTTTCGATTGCGCTTCTGGATAGCCCAAAAATTTTGCATTTTGTTGAACATTTCTTGTGTCGATGAAGGGGGCACGTTCAATTTTTCCAGGAAATCCGTCTGGCTCTTGAGTTTCGTGTCAGTTCTTTAATGTTCAATTCAATCAGTTTGCTTTACGTTATCGCCTGACAACTTCCTCAGGTTGGTGATATAAAGTATGTCCTTTTTTCCTAATGCACATCTTCCTGATTTGAATTTCATTTACGGTTACTGCAACGGTATTGCTACTGCTGCAAGGGAAGGATACCAAGCTCGTTTTCCACATTGAGACGTTCCAGCAGAGGCCGAGGGAAACTGGTTCTTTCTTGATGTAGGTGAGGAAATTTTGCAATAACGGCATCGTTAATCGTGATCCCGAAATCAGTACACGTCCGGCCTTGGTGTTTCACAATGGAGAGGTTGGGATACCTTCCGTCGTGAATTACCATTTTACGAGTGTGATTGATGTAGATGAGGAAAAAATCAACTCACTGCTGGTGGTGGTCATTTCGTTCCAAACTTTGCACTCTCGTAAAAGAGCGAAAGAACCAGTTTCCCTCAGCCTCTGATGAAGTCGTTGGAAGGTGCGATCTGAGATTTGAGGACAGGATATTATAGGAAGTTTTTTGTTGCATATGGTGAGTAGAAACACCTCCTGAAATTGTCGACATTTATCGCCAGCCACCCTGAGCAAAGAACTTTGAGCAAAAGCGTCAAGTATGACGTCATTAATTTTTTATGACTTGTTATCTAATTTTAAACACATATCGACCTCATTCGGCTTAAAACGTAGTATTCAGTTTCATCACTTCACATTTAATCGAGCAGTATTTAATCGAAATGGTATGAAAATGAAATTGATTTCCGCCGAGAGATTGAAAGCATTAATGAACCAGGGCTTAGGGGAGGAGAGCTCGTGAAGTTGTTTCCCATGGCTGTA